TTGAATGCCAAAGTCACTATTTAAATGCCAAAGTCACTATTTAAATGCCAAAGTCACTATTTAAATGCCAAAGTCACTATTTAAATGCCAAAGTCACTATTTGAATGCCAAAGTCACTATTTAAATGCCAAAGTCACTATTGAATGCCAAAGTCACTATTTAAATGCCAAAGTCACTATTTAAATACCAAAGTCACTATTTGAATGCCAAAGTCACTATTTGAATGCCAAAGTCACCTTTTGAATGCCAAAGTCACTATTTAAATGCCAAAGTCACCTTTTGAATGCCAAAGTCACCTTTTGAATGCCAAAGTCACCTTTTGAATGCCAAAGTCACCTTTTGAATGCCAAAGTCACCTTTTGAATGCCAAAGTCACTATTTGAATGCCAAAGTCACTATTTAAATGCCAAAGTCACTATTTAAATGCCAAAGTCACTATTTAAATGCCAAAGTCACTATTTGAATGCCAAAGTCACTATTTAAATGCCAAAGTCACTATTTAAATACCAAAGTCACTATTTGAATGCCAAAGTCACTATTTGAATGCCAAAGTCACCTTTTGAATGCCAAAGTCACTATTTAAATGCCAAAGTCACCTTTTGAATGCCAAAGTCACCTTTTGAATGCCAAAGTCACCTTTTGAATGCCAAAGTCACCTTTTGAATGCCAAAGTCACCTTTTGAATGCCAAATTATAGTAAATATTACATATAGATTTGTCAAATATTGCTCTGAAATGTTGTCAGGAAAAATGGTTGCAATCAAACTGGGTTGAATACTCATTAAAGATAAAAGTACAAAAAATGTAGTTACCCTGGCAATCTGGTAAATAGACATGCGCTCGATCATGCTACAAATATTGTAATACAACCAGTGTATTAGAAAGTGTTACAGTTGCAGGGGAACTCAATAGTGCACTTCATTCTACCACCTGCTGTTAGACGATAATCTGTTCAGGTCAATGGTCTTCGTTACCATTACTGAATTCACATGATTCTCATCAGTTATTATGACAGACTCAATAGCCATTGACATGACAATTTTTAGCGTAATAGAACTGTAGGGGAGTAGTTGTAGTCATAGATTGAGCATAGATTGAGCGTCCATGCAAGCTTTCACTTAAAAAGTGTCAAGTTACATTTATACACCATGTATCCAATTAGTCTGTCAGCAACTTTAAGTTCTCTTTATACAAATATTATTTTCTAGTAGCGTTTACATGAAGAAGTCAGTGAGTTTTGTTATCATTTATTTGGCTATGAGAAGAGTTGTATTTTTGACTTTAGTTTATTTTTATTTTTTTCTGAAAACTACAACAACATACAAATGTAGCAGACTTTAAATTTTAGTGAAAACGACAAAAATTTTCCACTGACGTTATTCTAGCAATTCTGAATTTATTTAAAATTAACTTGAAATATAATAAATATTTTGGAGCGAAAAGATAACTACGGTAGTTGTTAAATATTTATCAATGTTCTGTATGAACAATTTAGATAATTATCATAATGAGTTTCCTCTAGTCCTTCATCAATAATTCATCTCGTTTAGCTGTTGCGGGAGACTTCTTTCAGACTTTTGTATAAATCACCCTTGTCCTTTTGATGTAAATCGCTCAACTGTGAAGTTTTTTTAATTTTAAGGTTAGATCAGATTGTTTTGGGTAATTAAATTATAAAACACTCTACCGTATGTATATGATGAAAATAATTAATGAAATAGTATGTTTAATCTTGTGCCATTACCTGGTATGTATTATTATTTAACCTTTGAACTGTTAACCCAGTGAATGCCTACAGCAACTTGTTACTTATTCACAAAATAAACTTATGTAAATTTTTTCAATGAGAAATTATGTTCATATAATCCAAAATTAACAACAAAAAAATAGATAAAAATTTGCAAAATGCTACGCCACAATTTGGCGGGAAAATTTCTAGCTTCAAAGAGTTAAAACACAAAATGTAAGTGTGGTATTATTGTTAATTGATTTTTATGA